ATATTGGCATTTTATTACTGCACGATTTCAATATAATTCACTAGATACGCTATCTCGTTTGCACAATGGGTGATGAATGGATAGTATACCAAAATAGCGCTTTTGAATGTAACTAAAACATCAGGTCATTTCTTATTACTAACTGTTCCATAGTTACAGAATCAATAAATCACTTTCATTATAATGGCTTAGTATGCACAACATTTCTTGTGTATACTTTATCATTCTCACGCTTTCCTTGGCATCCATTGCCAGCAACATATACCCTTAGACCGTTTTCATAGCGCACTCTCGACAAAGCTACGTACAACTGACCATGCACAAAGACTGGGCTGTGCAGATAAACACCTACCTTGTCAAATGACTGACCCTGTGACTTGTGGATTGTCATCGCAAACGAAACAAGAACCGGAAACTGTCTTCTCTTGAGTATGAATGGCAGCTGTGTCTCGCTCGGTGCCATGTCGATCCTTAGTATGACTGCCTTGCTATCTTTCCTGGATCCGGTTACAATAGTAGCTATGATAAAGTTTGTGTGGAGCTCATCAACCACCGGGCGTGTGCCATTGAGCAGGCCATTGGCTGGATCAAGGTTGCGCAATAGCATTATCAACGCACCCCTTTTTAGAACTAACTTGTGCGGTGGCATTCCTGAAGGCTGCTGCTTGTTGAGAAACTCTAGCGGATAGTTCGCAACAACATCATTGTCTTCTGTGACAATAGAGTCTGCACTCGTGTATGTCACTTCGTTGCCGATCATCAAGTCAAGGACCCTGTCATTGATTTCCTTTGCAACATTGTTGTTTGTTGTGAGTATAGTTCTGTTCGTCAGATCTTCGCTGTCAGCCATGTTGGTAACATCACCATATATCTTGTTAACGATGTCATTGCACATATCGTTAACATAGTCGTTGAACAGCCCAAGTGCATCATGCGGTCTGTTGAACACACAGATGTATGCGAGCAGCTTTCTGATGTGGTCAGATGTCTCTGTCATTGCAGCTTCGCTCAGCACATTCTTCCATTCATTGTCATCCTGCAGAAGATTTCTTGCCCTTGCTGCTTCCTCGAATGTGCCATATACAACATTGTTGGCACTTCTTAAGTCGTCGAATGACGTTGCACCTCTCACATTGAGCAAGAGCATTCTCAGATAGAATCTCTCCTTTTCCTCTGGATTGACCGCATACAATCTTGTAATGACTTTGTCCTCACCCCGCTGTCGCAATACCCATCAGCTGTTCTGGTACACATAGTGATATGGAATGTCGGTGTAGAGATATTGTCTGGCATCTTCATCCTCTTCATTGAGTCGAAACCGTGCAAGAAGATGTGTGAGCCTGCTTGCGCCGGACTCAACAGCATCCCTCTCCATACCCTCTTAGAAAACAACGTTCTGCTCATCAGGCAGATGAACAGGCAGTCTTATAGTGATTTATGATGGTGGCTGATCATGTTGAGGTAGATATTTTAGTCGATAGCTTCGAAATATATTTTCTTCATATCCTAAAAACTGGCAGCAAAAATAGTATACATGGTTCCAACACGATAACAATGGATATCTGATAAAATAAGAAATTTTTATGTGACTTCACACATAATCCATCGGTTTTAATCTAAGATATAATGTTAACGTTTTTTAGATTTAAGGTTAGCAAGATAGGGTGTAGCTACACTTTCATGAGGCTGACAAACATATACAATGTTTTAAAATTGAATGACTCAAAATTTTTTTAGATAATCAATCATCAAATATATTATTCATCATAAAAATATGAAAATCGTAGATTGGCATATTTTATTTAAATTTAAAGACTAGCTGCGCTATTTCCGTTTATAAAACAGAAAAAATGCTCTATCCATTCAATGATACTTTCTTCTTTTCATATGTCGTATTATGTTTTTTCTATTGTTTAAGATTCTATGGTAAGGGTTAGGTAATTAGCTACTATTCAGCGGTCGTGTAATTTTGATGTTGTTAGTGAAGAACAATTGAGGGCGTTTCAGAAAGATCGAGTTGTACAAAAACTTTAGGTCTTTTATTCAGCGCAAATACATGAAACAAAATTTTGTATTTTTCTCGAAGGATCAAATAATTTATTTCACAGAACTGATCAATCAGCTTCCAAGTTGTCTTTTTATTTATATGACGAAGATCTGATGACAACAGTTAAGAATACAGATTGTCCGACTATTTTTAAAATTCAATCATATGTTAGAAGACCATTAAAGTGTATATTTAGCCGGCATACCAAATGAGCTACAAAATATACTTTACAATGTTTAGAGTAAGCAAAGTTTAAGCAGTCATATTGGGATACTGCACGTATCTTGTATATCATTTCGTTTCAATTTACCTATTTTGAACAATATTGTCATTTATCTGAGCTTTTGTTTAACAGATAAAAATCAATACTTGTGCGATCGAATTTTTGTACCATCTGATAGATTTTTATTTCTTAATATAGTATGATTACTTGTAATCTATCAACATCCACGAAACAGGATATATATTCTCAAGAATAATTTATCATTAAAAGCTTTAAAAGCAGCGATGAAGACGACAATATGATACTTGTAAACACTTTTATCACAAGCATAATAATATGTTTATTAAAATGTAATGCTGAACCATTAATAGCTCAAAAAGAAACAGATAATGGTTATTTTCCAAAATCCACAGATGATCCGCGACTGATCGAACTACAAAAGAAGATTTGCTGGCAAAGCAAGTTCTCGAATGAGATAACCGGAGGATTGAAGGTTTTTACTAGCTTGATGCACCAAAATATTCTTTCTGATTTGGGTAATGAGAGGGAATATATTGTTAAACAACTGAAAAAAAAACTGGAAGACTATGGTAAAGAATTATCTACTGTTCTCAAAGATAATAGTAGCCATCCTGGAATATCTATCTCCGTTGTTGAGAAGCATATGCCTGCAATCAATAACTATTTTGACATTCGTGTTAGAGCTAACAATCACTTCAATGTTGGCAAGACCGATGGTTTGGAAAACGAAATGAAGGGAAAAATTAATGTTCAGCACAGTATTAAACAAGATCAAACGCCAGAAGTCAATAAGGCAGACGAATTGCAGGCTGCCGATCCCAATCTTGTAAAAACACTGGACAAAAATATTAAAGAAGCATTTGGATCAACTCTGGAACAATTGAAAGAGCTGAACGAGCAAATACTTCGAACAGAACCAAGCATCTCAAAGACTGCTGACGAGGAAAAGAAGGTTGAGTGCCTGTCGAATAACCTCGCTAGCGTGTTAGCTAAATTTGAAAATGATTGTCAGGATTATCTTTCGAACGAATTTACTTATCTTAAGAGCAATATAACAAGGCGGTATGAGACCTTTAATACACAGATGGACCATGTTGTTCGAAGCAAGGTATCAAGCTTGGTGCAATCCAATGAAAATTTCTCTTCCGAATTTGAATCAGATGGTCAAATCCGATTCTACGTATCACAAACTAGTATTGATACTAAACCCGAGTCATTTAACGAAAAGATTTTTACACCTTGGTACGATTTTAACTCAAGCGGCGACATCAATGTTCAGGGAACAAAAAAGACACTGGATACATTCCTAGATGATCTTTATAGGTCAAAGAAGTTTTCGTCAGACGATTTCGACCAATCATACGTGTATTTTGAATCTAAAGGAAATCTTGTTTTTAAGACTACATTAATGGAATATTTCCGAGTTGTATCCTTCGGATATATTTCATTATCACCATATAATTTGAGTGAATATAACTACAAGCGTCGGTCAACCAACGGCAAGAACGAACGTGAAACAAAGTACAAGTTCAGCTCAACAGGATTTCTTGGTTTTGTTGTGGATGATGCTACGAAATCTATTGAAATAGGTTCAGAGGTGGTTTGCAAAGACAAAGATTCTGATATAATATGGTATAGCTTTACATCAGACGGTTCGATCGAAATTGCTTGCTAGTTATTAAAGTAGTTCAAAGTTTCATTCATTTTTTTGTTTTATAATTTTATGGGATGTATACCTGACTACATAGCATATCTGCGTGTTATTTCGAATAATACATTGCGATACGGTGGTTTTGTCTTAATAATTCTGTGAACGCTGTTCAGGAGCTAACATGTATACTGGGTTGTTACGTGGCAAATGCACTGAATTTCTTCATGGACAACGACCAGTGATTGAGCTGGATCCGACAAAATAGAGGAGTGCATGTGTTTTGATAGTACATTCAGCAACTGATAGCTGGTCTGACTTTTGGTAAAGAGTCTATTTTGTCAAGACGTTTGCATCAACTAAACGACTTACCGAGGCGTACTGCTATCTCGAATGGTTTTTTTTACACGAATGTTCATTTATTTAACATATCATAGACTTCTCGCCCTAAACAAACTCTTACAGAACATCAGTACCTGTCATGGCACCGACAACTTTTGATGCCAGAACTTCTACATAACACGTTTGATCCTAAGTAGAAATAATATATTGTCAAAAGACTTTTATCTAATGTATACACAGCAGATAATCGTTTACACAGTTGTGAAAAAATGGTTGATGTTAGATAAAAAATGTAAAAATTCCATGTTGCTATATCTATGCCACACAGACATTTGGTCGTTATTAACGATTAAACATAAGGAATGATTTTACCCTCTTTTAAGAATCAATTATAAACGTTCACCCTTTTTGAGAGAAATGGAAATGTATCTTACAATTCTTACGTTGACGTTGATTGCTTTGCATACCGTCTCGATATTTGCTTTTTATATGTCGGATGAGAAGATTGTGTCATTCTGTGGCATTGTAATATTCGGACTTGTCTCACCATATGTATTTAGTTGCATGATCAATGAGCTCACCATACATATTTTCTACCGGGTGTTTTCAAGAATAGTCAAATATTACTGCGTCATTTCAATCATCGTTGCTGTAAATGTGATCAAACCGTTCGAAAGTTATGTTATGTGCTTCGTGGTTCTAGCACTTATAGCAATTGTGGACATATATAGGGCATATATGGTTGAGTACGCGAAAGACATGTACTGTAAACGACTTAGTAGCGGTGTTATGAAATATATCGTGGATTTCGAGAAGTACGTACTATTCGAGCTGGGTGTAATTAATGAGGATGCGCTAGGTACACATCAAGAAACGATAAAGACCTTTTGGAAACGAGGCAGCCCTACGCCTTTAGACCCCGAAGTAGCTTTTAGACGTTGGTCAGGAAAAACTGAACCAGGTCGAATCAGAAAAGAACTGCCCAGAGATCTTAACAGGGATGAGCTGGCAGATGTTCTTGGTTTGAACCGAAATGCAATTGCTGAAGATATAGTTGATGAGACTTCTGAATTTTGTACCGAACAGTCATACTATAGAGCTCGAAACGATAGAGAATTCGATGTAGTCAGTCAACAGGGTCTTAGGATGTTGAAAACAATCACAAGGGTCCCAAAGCTTTCGCATCTCGAGAGCTTCAAGACCATAAAACAGCTTCCGAGCAGCGAGTTGGCATTAATAGCGAAGAAGTATCGGTTTAGAACTATACTTGATGAGGAAAAGCATGCTGAGCGGAACTATGACACAAGTCTCTTTGGGGTGGTCACGCTGCATTCGCTCAGAAAGCGTTTTAAATTGAAAGATGCAATAACTATTTATCGAATGGTCTCACATGGCATTCAAGGTGATGTGTCCTACGAACATTTCAGGTTGAATATCAGGCAAGTTAACGTTGAAAGAGATAATCTGTACTCCTCAATAGGGTATTATAAACATTTAACGAAAGTGCTTACCACGTTTTCAGCAATTATAATTGTAATCATCATTCTTAGCTTGTCGCCCCTTATATTGAAGATGACAATTCCCTACATAAGGATTCCCACACCAATACTGTTGTTCGGCTTTCTTGCGATTTTGAAGGAACCACTTACCTCCTTCATCTTTATCATATATTCGCATCCGTTCGACTCGGGGGACCGTGTGGTGATTCGCGGTGATACCCATATGGTTCAGCAAATGAATATTTACAACACGATGTTACAGAAATGGAATGGCGAAATAATTTCAATAAGCAACAAATGGCTAGCTAATCATATTACCAAGAATTATAGAAGAAGTAAAAGACAAAAATGGGAGATTTTTGTAATTATAGCTTCCAATACACCCGTGCAAAAAGTTGATGAGCTGAAGAAAAAGTTAAGAAATTTAGTTAAAAAGCACAAAGATGACTATTTGAAAATAACGTGCAACATTGTTAACATTGAGAATAGTAACAAAATCAAATTGGTAATTTACATCACACATGTAACAAACTTCCAGATAGGACTTTACCGATGGAAAAGACACACTATGTTCATGCAATATCTCATAGATTATCTTACCAAGCTAGAAATTGAATATCTGCCAATAGACATGCCTGTAAAAATCGATGATTGTAGCGTTAACGATGAGCTGTTCATGGATATGTATGGTGCTAACTAATTCAGTGGATGTGTCTTAATAACAAGGTATTTTATCACCTATATCTGGTTAGCATACACGAATCGTTATAATATGACAAATTTACGCGATTCTTAATCTCAAAAACATCATCATACAAATAAATCTTCCGTGACACGCGGAACATCCGAGTTATGTACGAAATATGCTTAATTCAGCACAGGATCTATCGAGAACCATGCCAGGTTGATCATGAATAAAAATGCAATTAGTAATCATCATGTATTCGAAAACATGCATATGATCCGATTATTTATTTGTTAATATCCTTATTTTTATCTCCTGTTCTACACATCTGATCCCTGCCGCCTAAACACCTTCCCATGGTTATAACTATTGTCGCAAAAGGATGTTTTGTACTGATCTGACATGGGAAGGCAACATTTTAACAATTATACACCTTGTGATATATTATAAAAATGGTACTTAGTGTATTGATATGATATTTCATTCTTAAGTGGCGCCAAATTAGTGATACACGAAGCTCCACTTAACGTGAGCTATAAACTCAGGAGTAGTTGGCACTGGACCATAACGAATTATGAACTAGATGGCTCTCTACTACTGCACGCATCCATGTGATCACAACATGTTTTTTGTACTATTCATAACAGATTGCTACTATCATCATCGGGTCTATGTCACAGTGATATGGAAGTAATTATGTTTTTATTATATTTAGTAAAAACTGGATCACTCGATAGTTTTACTATACAAGTTCATTATGATAACTATAACACGCTTCCTACATGAATGCGGTATGTGCAACATCGTTTGTTTACATTGATTTTGTTCTTCTTTTTCTCCTAAAAATTTAGTTAATCAGTAATTAACGTTACTGTCTGACCGTAACTTTCTTCTAGTAATTAAACATAAGTGTGTTATAACTGAAATATTTGCCGGAATACAGTTGTAATCCGCATTCCACACCTCCTGGAGATTAAATTAACGTAACAAACAGCGACTCGCTACACAAAAAAACACACTCGATCAGAGCTTTTTACTTAAGATATATCGCCTTAGAAGGTACGTTGTTGGTCCAAATTTCCACAGTAATCGGCTCAAGTCATTGTAAAAGGCACCATCAGGCTGCAGCTGTCGCAGTATACCATCGAAACAAAAAGCTGTTAGGAATAAATGGTTGTATTTGTAGTCGATTTTTACATTATACTTATTAAACAGCCGCACTGCTTTAAATGCATACTCTTTTGTCAATGCGTATTTTTCGTTCATATTTTCGCATTCTTTTATATTATAAACTTGCTCAAAATAATGACTGATTAATTCGTTGATCTCCACCCGGAACTCCTTTTTATCGACACCTTTGTTGCAGGCTAATCTTTCAACCAACAAATCTCCCACCACCAATCCATTTCTCTCAATGAACAACGAACAAAATAAATCAACAAAGTTTGTGTATTCAACATCCGATAGGAGCTTGGTAAGTCCTAAATCGTATATTATAAGCTTATTTGATTTGGAAATAGCTACATTGCCTGGATGAAGATCCGTATGGATAAATCTGTTGTAAAAAAGCGATTTTACAAAAAATGACAGCGCCGTGGTTGCTAAGGAAAATTTTTCTTGCTGTAATGGGCCAGAAACGGCATTGTTACCTCCAGACAAGCTGATCTTAGACAACTTGTCGGACAAGTTTTTCACACTCCGTTGAAACACACCAGCGGTTCTGATACAATAGTTTTTTTCAGCTTCATTTTGAGTACTCAAAAAATGTGATGTTATTGGATAACCTTCGAGGTATTCCATAATTAACACGTTTTTGGTTGCCGTAATCGGCTCAGCTACAAGAACATTCTCATCATAGTGAATTAAATGTCTCATGACTTTCATATTGCGCTCCTCTTCAGTAAGATCGATTTGTTTAAAAATTTCATTTTGGAAGTGCAATGCCTGCTCGTTTACATTTAAACAAGAGAATGCGGGGATTCTACCTATAATACTGGCAATATTTGTAATAATTTGGCAATCTAAGTAAACATCCCTGATCGTATTTGGATGAATAACTTTAATGGCAAATGTTCGGTTGCCAGACTTCTTGATCCTTGCCATACGCTTCTTTGTGGCCTCAAGCCTAATATCAGTCGATCCCATACGGGTTGGAACAAAAATCTGAATGAAATTGAGGAAGAATCTCTGAAAAAATGGAGAAAAGTTCCGTGGTTCGTCGTTCAAAATCACTTTATACACTTGTGCAACAGACCCAGAGCCAATTGGGCTATGGTTAACGAAATGGAATAGCGATGTATCATACATTTCATCCTCAAGAATTTTTAGCGTATCAGCAAAGGGGTGCACCGGTGCCTCACTGTGCAAAGTACTCAGTACTTTGCACAAGCCAATGGGCAATAAATCTGATCTCGTGGCAAGCCATTGCCCGATTTTCATAACAACATAACCGTTGTTCGCGAAGAAGTTGTAAATACTTCTGTAATAAACCATTTTTGGAAGCGGATATGTGAGGATTGGTGGAATAACCGAATACGACAATCGGAATAAGCGACAGAGCTGGTCACTTATAGGAAATTTTCGCGGTGGATTATAGCCATACCTGTAATTTGGACAGCTATACAATTCGTGAATGAAAATAGATGCGAACATCGAAAGTCTTCAAGGGCTAAGAAGTGTCTGGACGGAAATCGTTCCATTGGTCAGCATTAGCTGTGGTGTATTCAGCTATGAGCTAATCGTCTGTTTCAAAACGTATTTGTCACATATCACGGTAATACCTATGCCAAGGTATCTGAGTACAAACCTATTTTAACCTCAACATCAACATATCGTGTTAAAGATCTGACTTAGGCTGCAATATCCCCATGAAGTAGAGCATATACCAATAGTTACTTTATAGTGTCACTCATTCTCCTGCTGAATCTGATTTCACATCTCTTCTACATCGTGTTCACCATTTACGACTATGGTTTAACATTCATTTACTTAGTTTGAACATCACCGTATAAAAATGCGAAAAATCCTGTGCAACCATCAATTGTTAGTAGAGATATATCTATGTACAGGAGTAAACGGAAGATAAGAAACACCAATATGCCATCCATTAGTGGTTCTGGAAGTAGCTGGTCTATGAAAACATTCGTATATTCTTTCATACAAACTTAAATCACATATAACCAGGCATAAGTGCACTATTTTTCTTCTTCTATTACTCGCCGTTTCCTAAGAATCGCTGATGTGTTGTATCAAACGATAATTATCTTGTTTTTTGTGCATTCCCAAATTCATTGGTGTGTGGTCACTGTGTAGAAATTGAAAGCGAAATCATGCCATTTATTGGCATGAAACAGACAAAAATCTAGTAGCGTACCAATTTTAATTATAAATCATTCACTAATTAAATGAAACATAAATGTGCAACCTTGACCGATATATCGTGAACTACTATGTTGAACCAGCTAATTTGCACAATAAAACCGATCATGGACTATCCATAAGAAGAAATTTACCCCTGCACGTTGCTATCGGTCACATCCAAGGTTAACTCATAATATGATGCATCATAAATTCTCATGTGCGCATCATTGGAGTACTATGACCCAAGAAATTACCGTAAGAGTTCATAGCATTCGTCTTTCTTGTATGGTTTGCTTTCGAAATTCCTCGTTCTTTTGGTACAAAGTCATCTCTCAGTATATATGTTTGCCCGAATAATTTGTTATAGCAAGCGTTATCATCCAAACCGGTCGGGGTAGTGGTATAACCTCCTTTATCATCACCATGTTGGGGATTCTCAGCCGTATAAGACGAAAACTCTTCAAATTCTTCCCATTCTTCTAGCTCTTTCGCGGCACCTCGATCTTCGATCTGACAGCACGATTCTGTATCTGCCTCTGCATTTTCAAGCTCATTTAGTGGCATCCTCAATAATATATCAACAATATTCAGACGATCTTTATCACACATTGGTATTGACTGGCTGAATAAATTTTTAACCGATGACTTTAAAAGCACTAACCGATCATCGTCTAAGTTTTTTGCATCAATAATCAAAATCATCTCACTAGCACAAATGTAAATTGTCGGTTTTTGAGGATCAAAAATGAAAATCAGGTTACTCGGCCCGTTGCAGTTCGTAGTTACTTTGGCCAATTCACCTTCTTGATTGTTCAGGATAAACGGGTATGTTTGGTGCTTCGTCCTTGTTAAATTATTGTAAGGTTGTGCTAGAAGACTATTTTTCGAATTTGTATTACAATCAAGCTCATTTGTAGGAATTTTAAGGTAATTCTGATCAGTTCTAGGTTCACAGGATGAACTAATCAACTTACGGATCACAATTTGAAGCTCCTTTTGCACACCAATAAGCAAAAAATATGTCCCGTGTATCTCAACTTCCTCTTTTCCTGCAATGAAAGTTCCACCAAAGGGGATAATTAATTTCATCAGATACCCGAATAAAGTGAGCTTTACACGTTCCAATAGTTCTTTGTTCATGTTCTCAGCTTCTTTGTCGATCACAAATAGACTGGCCGCATTCATCTTAAATATACAGGTCTGTTGTTCGCTTACACCAGAATTACTCCCCTCATTGACACTTTTTCCTAAGTTTTTATCCAGGTTGGAACAAAAGAAATGCACTAAATGCGCTATTGAGTCTAATTTTTTTTTCACATCAGTGTTCTGGCGACTATTTAACTGAGCAAGAGTTCTCAACTCATTAAATAATGTAATGTGTTGTTCTTCCACACAAACTTCAGATTGATCGCGTTTCTGATATTTTATCCCTACGTTTAAATGGTGATAGTCCAGTTGTTCAGACAATGCGCCGCCATTTTCATTTGAGCAAATTGTTCTTCTATCATCGTCACGGTTACAATATAAAACGCTAACCACACAAAACAGTACAGGTAGCATCACAGGTGATTCAAGACTGGGTGAAATAATAAAATACAGTCGAACAATAAATGTCATCGACTTTTTAGTCAGTAAATGATCGACAACTCTAAAACTCGTATGATAAATTAAAAGGTCAGAAATTCTCTGTAAATGATATTTTTAACATTAAAATTGCTTTAAACTATTTTTTTGCGCTATCACATCATTCAAAGAGATGCTAAGTAGCAGTGTGCAACAACAACAACTCTATTTCAGTCCTATTTTAATGCATATGCTCGTAGGAACACCAGTCTAGCATCCAAGCACACGACACAATCGATTAAAGCCTTCAACACGGTGACAAATATGTATTAAACAAATGTCTCTCCATTATGATTAGTGCAAAATGCTTTTCTTTTCTAATTTATGTAAGTTTTACATTAATCGAACATAATTCACATATTTTTAGCAATTTTGTTAGACCTGCAACCACAAAATAAAATGTACCACTGCTTTCTTGGCTATTTATCACATGATGATGACTAAAACTACAAGGAACAGGAGGGAACTATTAAAAACATCAATAGACTGCGTATGATCAAATAGTTTCAGAAACACTTCTCTCTGATCTTAAATAACCCGATTAAATCTCTTCACATGCTAAATGTTCAACACGTGCTTAGAACAGACATTATTAAGCATTCAACTAAAAACTCCTATTACGGTATTTTTTAATCATGCTGTTACCTTCTTCATTCTTGTACTCTCATTTTACATTATTGCTAACTCTGCACTTAGATTTATTAAGAAGGTTGCCCGAGTCGTGATTTGCAAGTGAATTTTTCGATCAGACCGTCTTGATAGAACTGTCATATTTGATTGCTATTGACATGTGATTATACACGTCATACGCATCATTATCTTGTATCCGATTGTTTAAAGAAAGCGAGTCTTCTTCCGGTTTCACTATGCTGAGACATGAAAAATTTACAGAATTCTTTTTTTTTAACTACCAAGTACATGTAAAAAACCTCAGCTCTGGGTTGGCACCAGATTATGTATTCTTCAAAGCATTTCTTTTATGGCAATATAGGCATGATGACGCGCATACAGAAAGAATGAGCTTCCTCGTGGTGATAAGTTTGTACTCTCTCTCGTGAAAGAAGATAGGACAGCTAACCCATCTCATAGAATATTCTCAGACCTATTAACAATATATCTCTCAATGTTGCACTAATTGAATACGTTTCCTGTGTGCATGATGGACATGTTCGCATCAATTTCGGATTCTGATGTGACACTGGCCACGATATACCAATTCATTAACCATGAGTATTACCATGTTGGCCGTTCTTGTGTATTCCACTCAGCGAACCGTATATCATGGCTTTTTCCGAGAAATAAGGTAGAGTCAACAACCGCAGGAAATCTTACCAAGTATTCATTTTTGGATATTGTAAGAGGTGAACCATTTATTTGCTTGAATTTAATGAGCTGTACTTGTACTAATACATCATTTTTATTGTTAAAGTTGTAGTTTTAGATTAGTACATTTTTCTAAAAATATTTTTCTAAATTGTTCGATAAGGAAATGTTCATACATGGAGAAAAGGAACAAAGGATAGTATTGCTTCGAATTGCGTTTATAGATGAGCTGTAAGTATTTAAACGAAAATGTTTAACGTAAAATACGGTAAGCTTGACACATTCTTCACTGCCAAAAATAACTAAAATGTCTTATTATTTTATAAATCCTGTAAATAATTAATTCACTAAACTCGATTTGATACCTCATTTAATTTGCTCTAGTTACAGATCCTTTGACTGGAAATACTCCAATCAGAAACAACTATGTGATTAGCCTTGCGCATCAGATTTTCATTTAAGTATTGCCTCTAGTCACACTTTTGTTTTCCAGTATGGTAGGTTCATATGTCGCATTTCAAATTGAATTTGCTAGTGTTATCTACCACGTAATCAATCACGGGAAGTGCATGTTATTGGATATTCGGGTGTTTCCTAACCAATAGTAGTGCTATAATCATTGTTGTAGCTCTTGTCACACGGACATGCCATTAAAACGATTTTGTTTAGAACCGCCCTTTCATGGTCACGTACATACAAAAACGGTTTCTCGGCTCTGGCACCTATTCAAAAGTATACGAAGCCGTCGACCAGAACAATAATCGGTTCGCATTAAAAAAGATACGTCTATTCGAAGAGGAAGGGACACCCAGTACGGCCTTGCGCGAGATATCCATTCTAAAAACCTTACATCATCCAAATATTATCATTTTGGTGGAGGTGGTGCACACGCCCAGTTTTTTAACGCTAGTTTTTGAGTACATGGATTTTGATCTGAACGCATTTATAACTCACTATGGCTTTTCTATGGATCTCTTCGAACAGGTTGTCAAAGGTGTATCGTATATACATGCTATGAAGGTCGTGCACAGAGATTTAAAACCACAAAACATTCTAGTTAACTCAAAAAGACAGGTAAAAATTGCAGATTTTGGTCTTGCGCGTTCACTTGCCGTAACTATTCCGGTTTTATCGTCTGAGGTTGTCACGCTGTGGTACCGCTCGCCAGAGCTTCTCTCTAACATGCAGGATTACAACTATTTCGTGGATATGTGGAGTGTTGGCTGTATACTCTTTGAAATGCTGACGGGATGCGTGTTATTCAAAGGGAATAGTTCAAATGAGCAGCTGGCCATCATTCACAATGCAGTTGGTCATAGAAAGCGCTTTTTTGAGTACCTTATTGATGTGTTGGGCACTGGTAACGCATTCTATGTCGAGATTATCATGGGATGCTTAGATATGAATGTGAATCAGAGACTGAGTGCATACGAAATTGAAATAATGTTAGGAATTTAAACCTGAGAATGTAAATAAAATATAATAACCAATCTGTTATTGATATCTACCTGTTGCGCTGATCGATCGTGAACGAGAACGTTATTTGAAATATTAGGTGTGTAAACAAAAAAGATTTGTTAAAATATAACCACCAGTATAGCTTGAATAAATGTCTTCGTCCTCACTTACTCTTCACTATTCGGTCGTTACTTCAATCCAAATTGGACGGGCACTAAGGTTATGGTGTGCTCACATATTGAGTACTCCTCAAACGGTTTACGATATCCCACGGTTCAAAAATGCTTATTCTAACATTGATGACATCATTTAATTTGTAAATGGTTCAGAAATTTGTCATTCGTCGAATAAATTTTTTTTCCTTTGATTATTGTTCTATTTTGCTTACAGCGTTTTCATTTGCTATGCACTTTTGGTAAACCAGCAATCGTATCTTAATGTGTACATGAGCGTTTTATCACAAAAATACTTTCATGCTTTTCTATGTTTTTTGGTAGATCACCCAATTTTTTT